TTTGTTTATTGTAGAGAAGATGTCTCGCCAAGTTGCCCAGGTGGGTCTTAAACCCACGGACTCAGGCAATCCACTTGTCTCAGCCTCCCAAAGTGCTGAGATTACAGGCTGAGCCACTGAGCCTGGCCTGAGAATATTCTTATCAAAAAATATACATAAAAATACTTAGTAAAAATATGTCTCCAACATATTGAATGAATCAGAAAACATAATAAGCATATATTACTTACATGCATTAGAGAGAGAGAGAGAGAGAGAGATGGGAGAGACAAAGAATAAAACAAATGGGCTAAGAGATAAACAACTGGAGAATCTGGGTAGAGTATATGGAAGTTTCTTATAGTGGTCGTGCAACTTTTCTGTTTGCAATTATAGCAAGATTGAAATAACAGAAAACAAAACAAGGAAACAACACAGAGAAAGGAATTGTCAAATTATAAGGCTGGTTTTCTTCCACAATATAGAATTTTTAAGATAATGCCTAGGCGATGAGAACATTGAACTAGCACAGACACAGCAGTTCCCAAACTGTGCTCTCTGGGGCACAATTACACCATGACGGATTAGTAGATTTATCTAAATTAATACAGTTGGGGGTGTCTTTTTTTTCTAAAGTTCATTTTGGAAATAATCTTATTCAATAGAAATTCACTTGAGAGAGTTCTTATTTCTTTAGAAAAAAATTTTGATGAATAGTTGAAGTATAAAGTGAGGCCTACAAAGTGAGAGAAAGCAGCTACACAGTGAAGGCCATAGAGTGGCAATGTGGTCCTCCCTAGCATCCTCCACTTTTGCTCTGTAGAAATCATGGCACACACACAGTGGTTGTCCTGTGGAAACCAAAGAAAAGTCTGAGTTTTGTATCCCAGTTGACTTGGGAGAAAGAGGGTGCTTGACAATGCAAATCCTTTAAGACAGAAAACTTGAGGGAGTAGGACATGGAATAGGGGTTCAAGGCAATCCAATGTAGGTATTGGATGCTATCTAGTAGTCACATATAAAGAAAACATCAAACACATTTACACAGTTGTTCTAGATTATATATCCCTTATTAAGTTAATGGCGTCTTAGTCTAAGTGTCAAGATCTTATCTTCTTATATATAAATGTGTTACTATCTTATAATTAATAAAGTTGTGCCACATTCAAGGAAGTCGCACAATGGGCTGATGCAGGAGATAATATGTGACTGAACATCAATGTATGGTCAGCATCTACCAAATAACCCTTTCATTGGTATTTGTGGTCTAATTGAGAATTGCTGGTTGAAGTTATGGATCTTGTCTTATATTTTAAATATATGAATGTGTTAATTTATTAGTAATACAATAATTGAATTTTCAGATTTATATCCTTTTCTGTTAAAAAGTTTTAACAAGTGAACCAAGTATCAGCAATTTCTTACAATTAATTTATCCGTAAGACTTTAAAAATTCTCAGCATCAGTCTGAGTATTACTATACATCACAGCCACCTCTTGGTTTTCCATTGGGACATGGCAACCTTTATTATTTGTTTGGTTGTTTTTTTAGTCGGAGCCCCATTTTGTTGCCTAAGCTAGAGTGCAGTGTCACAAACTGATACCTTAGCCTTGACTTGATGCACTCAAGTGATCCATCTGCCTCAGTCTCCCAAGTAGTTAGAACTACAGGTGTGCACCACTACACCCAGCTAATTTTTTTTATTTATTGTAGAGTTGGCTCATGCCTGCAATCCCAGCACTTTGGGAGGCAGAGGCAAGAGGATTGCCTATGTCCAGGGGTTCAAGACCAGCCTGGGCAACTTGGTGACATGACAACCTTTAAAATGCTCTGTGGTCAAATAAGCTCAATAAATACTTCCATAGAGTGTCACTTTTACAGATGCATGTTTAAAGAGGTAGGACTTGGGAAAATATTACAGTGCACTTTCATATCCTGACTATTTTCACAAAAGGCAGTATTTTAATTATTCAAATTATGAATGAAGCTTATAACAGATTACTCAGCCAACTAACTTAAATACCAATGTAAATTAGATCACAGATCAACCCCCAAAACTTCTTGTGAAATTCTTAGGAGATGAATAACTTTTGCAAGGCCACTATAAACACAAATCAAGGGTACCAAGGGTGAAGCAGCAGCAGAAAGAATCCACAGGCTGAGAGTCTTTAGCCTGGGAGCAGTGCAAATCAGGAACACTGGCTGTTTTAGACAGTGCTACAAAAATTACATCATTATCAACCACAAAATAAAAAATGCATTGTTAAAACTTTAAAGATGATATGCAGATTAAGTAAAATGCATATAAGTGACAAATTCTTGGGAGGAGACACAGGACCACACAGACAAATGAAGCCTTTCCCAGCAAAACTGAAGAATGTTTATGTCTTATTACACTTGGGACTATAGTGTCATTGAAAAATGGAAGCCTAGCTGTTACCTAAGACAGGAAGGGAATTCTGCAAAGTTGGCAGCAGTCATTCAACTGTGTCCGTTTGAAATCTGCTATTGTGTGGTATTACTACAGAGTTTAAAGAGGTCACAGAGAGAGCTCTATGAAGGCTGATGCATTTTTCAAAGAGAATCAAAATGGGATATGTTACTTATATAAGATTCTGAAAAAATGTCTCAGGACTTACCCTGGCTGAACTATCACATTCCAAATCCCTACCCTCGGCATTCCTCACCAGTACCATTATTCATTCACCCAACTTTAAAACCTGGGACCTCCAGGCTTCTCCTTCCCCCTCACTTCTAACTCCTATTAGCTACCAAATCCAGCAGATTCTCCTCCACCTGGAATCCGCTTCCTCCTTTTAATCTTTAAAGCTAGTGTCCTTGTTCAGGTCCTCACCTCCTCATACTTGGACTATTCAAATAACCTTTTCTCCCAACTTCCAGTACTTTTCTATCTAATTCATTTCATGACTACTGCAAAATTCATCTTTCCAAAGCACAGCTTAAATTATACTGGTTACCTTTTCAAAGCTTCTTCAGTTACTCCTCACGGCTCTGGCCCAAATACATATTCCTCAACCTGGCATTTGAGACCTCGGTAATTTCCTGGCCCGGTTCCCACAGCTCCTCAGTGTCCAGACTCTTTCACAGTCCAACTTCTCTGTGTCTTTTTCAAATTCCCCATGCACAAATCTCAACGTATTCAAATCTTATGTACTTTCCAGGGTTCATATCAAGCATGGATTCCTCAGAGAAATCTTCCATCTTTCCTACTAGATGTCCTATTCTGCTTCTCTGAACGCTACCACATTTTCCCTGGCATCTACTATGATCTGCATTCCTCTTCTACTTATCTATAACTTTTACCATTATTTTCATTCAATCAATATGTGTGCCAGGCTCGGTAACTCAGCCTGTAATTCCAGCGTTTTTGGAGGCCAAGGTAAGTGGATTGCCTGAGCCCATGGGTTCGACCCACCTGGGCAACTTGGCGAGACCTTGTCTCTACAATAAATAAAAAATTAGCCAGGTGTGGTCGTGTGCACCTGTAGTTCCAGTTACTTGGAAGGTTGAGGCAGAAGGATCGCTGGAGCCCAGCAGGTAGAGGCTGCAGTGGTCTGGAGCGGCCACTGCCCTCCAGTCTGGGTGACAAAGTGAGATTCCAACTCAAAAAAAAAATCGATATGTACTAAGACCTGACTATGTGCCAGGCACTGTTTTAAGCAGTAAGAAGACAGGAGTGAATAAAACAGCTATGACTTCCAAATAAACAAAGCAAGCCAGAATCACCCCTGAATTTTTATAGTGTAGCATGTAGTAGAAAGCTAGAAGTTGTTCTATCAAGGTGTTGTACGATACCTCAAACATACAGTGTCATTCAATTAAGATGCTTTGTTTAAAAACTGTAATTCTATTAATAAAAAGGACCCATTTTAAATGAAAAATTTGAAGAATCTTACAGTATAACCTTAAAACCCCAAATTAAAAACCTGTGTATAACACAGGTAGCAAAAACAGAAGCAATATCACATCTTTCCACTGAAACATTTTAGAACAAAAATTTCCACTTTTTGAAAACATCTGTAAGTTGACTTGTTTAACAAAACAAATGAAGAGGATGGAAGGAAAAAAAATCAGACTTTGGTATCAAGGGGACTTTGAATGAGTAACTGAATTAATGAATGACGTATGAAAAGAGACGAAGGGTTTGTTTTTTTTGACAATTTTTGAACCTACCATTTTAGAATCCTAGTAAAATCTTCAAAGGTTCACATGGAAATAACATAGACAGGGATATATACAGTGACAGAATATGAGCTATCTTGAACTATGATTAAGAAGGTAAGATTTTCCTCTGACACATATCCCTTGACTGAACCAGCAGTGAAGAAACTGGCATATAAAGAAAGGAATATTCTTACAATTCATTTCAGTTTTAAATGAGTAAGCTAATCATTACCACTCAGCTTCAAATATCCCACCAATCCCAGTTGCCATCTCCTCCCACCACCTGCCCTTCTTTCCCAGTTGGTGTCCCCTCCCTGTCATCTTTCCACCATTCCCAGTTGCCATCCCCTCCCACCGTCTGCCCCAGTATTTCCAGTTGCTGTCCCTCCCCATCGCCTGTCCACCATTCCCAGTTGGTGTCCCCTCCCACTACCTACCCACCATTCCCAGCTGGTGTCCCCTTCTATTGCCTGCCCACCATTCCCAGTAGCCAACCCCTTCCACCGCCTGCCCCACCATTCCCAGTTGCTGTCTCCTCCCCACCGTCTGTCCACCAATCCCAGTTGAAGCCCCTCCCACTGCCTGCCCACCATTCCCAGTTGGTGCCTCCTTCCCACTACCTTCCCATCATTCCCAGTTGCCGTGCCCTCCTACCTCCTGCCCACGATTACCAGTTGCTGTCCCCTCCCCACTACCTGCCCACCATTCCCAGTTGGTGCCCCTCCCCACCGCCTGCCCATCATTCCCAGTTGCTGTCCCCTCCCCACCTCCTGCCCACCATTCCCAGTTGCTCTCCCCTCTCATTGCCTGATCTGCTCTCTGGTTCCCTGCTTACCTCATATGCATCTTTGATGTTCAAGGGCTCACCAAAAGCTGCCACATGTCCCACAATGCCCTTGTTCCATTCTAGACGGATACAGTTATTTGAAGCTTCTTCAAGTGTTGAACCTTCAGCAACATCGAAGAGGCGGCTGATAAGAAACTTGTCATTGGAGCTGTCCTCACAGACAAGGAACAGGGAATAGCGGTCAGCGGAGATGAGTCCATGGATATGCAAGAAAATTTTGTGACATAAGGCTGTGACATCCAAATGACTAGAAATGTCCTTTACTAATTCCAAGAGTCTTGAACACTGGTCCCCTCCATTATCAAACCTTGGGGGGGTTAGAGGCATCTGTTCCTTCTTTTCTGAGTCAGAGAGGAAGCTCACAGTTCCCTCAGAATCCTTGACAACAATGGGTCTAAGAGGCCGGTCAAATTCAGAAGCAGAGATTTTCCTGGTAGGTGTTCCAGGGGCACTGTTATCTGCACGAGGACTCTGCTGCAAGGGGCAAGAGCAAGATTCAGTGTGGCCTCTGATGCCTTCCTTGCATACAGGGATGGTGTGAACTCTCTCAGCAAACCATGCATTGACCATTTCTCTGCAGAACAGAACACGCAGACACATTAGACATTCAAGGAAGGGTACTGCCTCTAAAAAGTGTTAATGTTCCTCTCATGGTAAACTGACCAGGTAATAACTTGATTTGTCATGGAAAATGAAAACAAGATGGCTTGTTTAAGACAGATAATTTTGGTCATGCCTGTAATCCCAAAGCTTTGGGAGGCTGAGGAAGGAGGATCACTTGAAGACAAAAGTTCAAGGCTGCAGTGAGCTAAAATGCTATAACGGCACTGCACACCAGCTTGCATGACAGAGTAAGACCCCGTCTCAAATACATACATAAATTCAATGAACATCTTAATAAAGTCTGACTTTTACATATATAATTTTAGATATCTGATTTGCAACATACCAAGCATCAAATCTGCTTCTTCAAAATTAGTTTATTTTAAAAAGTAAAGGACATTAAATGTGACAATAATCTTAGGAAAACATAAATATGGAAGCTAATTTGATGTTTAAAACACATTTTTTTCTGAAGTTAAATATCTGAAAACAAGAAACAAGTATTTTCTAAATGTCGCCTGTTAATACCTATAATTTTAGATAGTTATATCTATTTTGCAAAAATAGATAAAATTTAGAAGGGGACATGGAAAAGATAAATAATTTAATCTGTATAGAGAAAGCATATTTACTACTGTAAATATTATCCCAATAATCCTTGTTCAATAATGGTAAAAATAATCTCTTTTTCTAAATTATCTACTTGTATAAAGGAGGAAAATTTAGTCGGGCTTGGTGGCTCAGCCTGTAATCCCGCGCTTTGGGAGGCTGAGGTGAGTAGATTGCCTGGGCCTGCGGGTTCAAGACCCGCCTGGGCAACTTGGCGAGACCTCATCTCTACAATAAATCAAAAATTTGCCAGGCATGGTAGCGCACGCCTGTAGTTCCAGCTACTTGGAAGGCTGAGGCGGAAGGATTGCTGGAGACCGGCAGGTCGAGGCTGCGGTGGCCAGGAGCCATCACTGCACTCCAGTCTGGGCGACAGAGTGAGACTCCAACTCAAAAAAAAAAAAAAAAAAAAAAGGGAGGAAAATTTAAAAGTAAGTATTATTTAAGTTAAAAAATGCAGTCCAAGAACACTGAAGTTATTTATGTTTTTAAAATGCACCTTCCTATGAAAGAAATCAATTGAGCTAAAGCCTTAACAGGTAATTTTTCAAAAAAAACCCCAAAACAAAAACATACAGATCATACACAATCCAAATGAGTGTTGTTCAAGTCAAATAATTGCCCCCTAGAAAGCTGTAACCTCATACCAATTAATGGTGCTATTACTTTAGATGTCTTTGAAACTCATCTTTTGAAACAAACTTTTGAGACAATTTATAATTCAAATAAGAATACTAGTTTCATCTAAAAATCAAATCTTGTTTTTTTGCTAACCCCTCTTCTCAAGTGAGTAAATAAATAAATAAAATAAAATCCCCAAATTCTAAGGTAACAGCTTACTTAGTTATCCATCTTCTGACAAGACATGACCTTATCCAAAACTCAAACTTACCTTCAAAAGACAAAAACTTGCTACCATTGAGAATATTTGGAAGAATTTGCCTATAATAAATGTAATACAATCGCCAATATAATTGTAGATAAAATTATTTGTTATTTCAAACAAACGACTAGGATAAAAATGTTTGCAAGGTACCATTTTGAAGAAAGTACTCTCCAATTTTCATGGCTGCAGTAAAAACTGGCATCACCTCTTCAGAGGGCAAGTAGGCACTATCTTACAAATTTTTAAAACTATATATCCTTTGTTCCAGAGATTTTATACATGTGGCAAAGGAAATGCAAGGGTACTTACTGTAGTACTGTTTGTTATAGCAAAGATGAGAAGAACCTAATATCACCAACAGAAGGCTGACAACATCATGGCACATTTTTACAATGGAACACTAAACAGACATTAAAAAGTGGTTAGAAGAAATGATGCAATCTCCACATTTTATTAAGTGAAAAAAGAAAATGCAAGAGTTTGAAAAGAAGTTGTTTTATTTCTGAGTCTTGACGAAATTTTTCACTTATGACATGTTCTAATTATTTCATTTTGAACAACGACATATTATTTGTTAACTATACCCTGAAATTATATCAGTCTAGAAAGAAATGGGTCAAAATTAAAAGATAAAAATATTATCTCCCTCATAATTTCAAGAACTCGATGCTGTTATGAAAGTCTTTAAAAAGCAATGGTCAAAGGATACAAAATTTCAGAAAGATAGGAGAAACAAATTCAATACAATGTGCAATATGGTGACTATAGTTAATAACAATGAATTGTATACTTGAAAATTGCTAACAAAGTTTTTAAGTGTTCTCACCACATAGAAAAGATAAGTATAAGGTAATGCATATGTTAACTAGCTTGACTTAGCCATTTCATAACATATATATCAAAACATGGTTTACACCTTAAATATCTAAAATTTTTACTTGTCAATTAAAAATACATTTTTAAAACTCCAAGATGCAATCTAAAAAACCAATTTCACTGATCTTGTGAAATGATCAACTTTATAATAAAGAGGTCTTACAAATTTGAACTAAGGAGAACAAAAGCAATGTAGTAGGCAGGTACACTGCACAAATCACAAGCATATACTTACAGAGATTTTTGAAAAACATAACGTCCTAATGTTTAGAAGCATGCTGTGGCTTAGACCAAAATTCCAGTAAGTACAATATACTTTGATTAAGATAATTCTGTATCTCAAAAACTTAGACAGAAATGAAGGTGTCTCACTTCTAGGAAATGCTTATGTAACTCTCCGAATTGCACTAGTAGCGCCAAAGACACCGATGTTAAAAAATGCATGTGAAGCTGTCAAAAACGGGCTTAAAATAAAATTGTTTCATAAAGTGAAAGACAGAAAAAAAGCAGATTTTATATTAGCAATTATGTACATGTAATTAAATTGTTAAATCAATATAATAGTAGGCATTTTAACTACTTTAGCTGCAAACTTAAAACTTAACCCCAACTTCTTATCTTCTCAATGAAAAATGAAGATCTCCTTTTTAATTTTTAAATCAAGCCACCTACTTGACAATTCCATGTGGACATCTGGGTGACTTAAAATGGTGAAAATAAAATTCCTAATGTTCTCCCCATCACCTTGTCCTGATCTAACTCGCTGCCAGTTTTCCTCATATTAAGCGATTCCAACTCAAAATAAATAAATACCATCATCCCTCCCCCAGTTACTCAAACCAAACATCAAAGAAGTACTCTAAGAGTGTTTCCTTCAACTTTCACACTCAGTTGAGCAATCAAGCTCTGTCAACTTTACTTCCCAAATCCTATATCCCAATCTGTTCATTTCTATCTCCATTACTACCACCCTGGCCCAAACCCTGCCATCTCTCACCTGGTCTATGGCTAGAGCCCTCTAAATATCTCTCTGATCTTGTAATTTGCCCCCCCCATCCATCCTTCACATAGCAGCCACAGTAATCTTTTAACAAATTAAATCTTTTTTTTTTTTTTGAGTCGGAGTCTCACTCTGTTGCCCAGGCTGGAAGGCAATGGCATGCTCACGGTCACTGCAGCCTTGACTCCCTGGGCTCAGGTGATCCCTCCGCTTCAGCCTTCCAAGTAGCTGGAACTACAGGTGTACGCCACCATGCTCAGCAAATTGTTTTTTTGATGTCTTGTAGAAATGAGGTCTCACCAAGTTGTCCAGGCTGTTTTCAAACCCTGGGCTCAGGCAATCTTCTCACTTTAGCCTCCCAAAGTGCATGGATTATAGGCATGAGCCCCCACACCCAGCTAACAAATTAAATCTTGACACCTTCACTACCCTACTTGACTTCCCATCGAACTGAGAGTAAAACTTGAACTCCTGACATCCCCTGCCACCCAGGTTCCTCTTGCCCATGCTGACTTCCTTGCAGTGTCTGACACACACTAAGCTCGAAATGCCCTGTCTCTGGGATGCTCTCCCCTCACCTGCACATGGTTGATCAGTTCTTCTCTGATCAAGTCACCTAAAGTGGCCCTAACACATCATGTGTGTTCTTACCCCACACTACTGGAATTCTCACTATCTGTTATTTTTTATTTTCTATCAGCCCTTTGGTATACTGTCTGTCTCCTCTAACTAGATGTAAATCTCACCAGCACTACTCATCTGTCTTCCTCACTGCTGCATCTCCTGTACTTAGGTGAATGCCTATCACACAGAATAGTAGATCCTCAATAAATACTTCTTGAATGAAGTAAATGGATGAAATGAAAGCTCCCAAAGCATCAAAAAGAGCAACAGTCTTTTGAATATCTAAATGCTGGTATGTTTGTTACAGAAAATCAGCATTGAGTTTTAGCTACTAATGTTGGTCATCCTTTGGATGCGTAAACCTCCAAACTGACCATGGTTAATTTACCCTTGCATACCCTGCAGTGCCTTGTGCAACATATATCTTAAGCAGAGTAAGTGCCTAAAACTTGTGTTATGTGTTTTTTGACTATGTGATTTTGATTGTTTTGTGATTTGTCTCATAGATATTTTGTTTCTAGATATTTTCTTGGAGGGATTAATTCAGTATTAAAAGACAAAGGGAATGCAAATCTAGTTCATTCAATCAACAATTTTTACTAACCACCAGCAGTGAGAAAGGGGAGTTCTCATGATCATATTATTGATTATCTGGGTCCCTGTAATTGCATGCTTCCATAGGAAAGCATACATTATCATAACATCAATACCACTTCGAAACCAACCACAAAATAAAATCAAGCCATTTCTTAACCTCTCTCCCTTCAGGCATCCCTTGAAGTTTTGTGGTGCATGACCTATGTGGTTGTATAGAATGGGCCTTTGCCCTTAAGACTAATAGCTATACTCTCTCCTGTTGACTTTTTAATATTCCAGTCTCTATGTAAATACAAATCATCTGCAAATTGAAATCTAAATTCTCATACAAGATACATGTTATGGTCTAAATGTTTGTGTCTCCCCAAAATTTATATGT